ACCAACTCTGACTCCAACTCCGTGCCTTTTAAACAATCTGTCTGGCACTTCCGCTTGGGCAGCAGCAGTTGCTCACTAGGATTGGAGGCAGTGCAAGCCAAAACTCTTAATATCTGTTACAAACAGGGCTAAGGCCTCAAAAATAACTACCCTTATACTTGAATACGAGTGTGGCTTGTTATCAAGTTTAAATCAAGTTGAGAAATTTAGGACTGTCCGATTATTGAGATTGAGAAAATTTACACAATTGCGAATAGTAATAAATGGAGTTGACAGTGATATGGATTGATTGACCAGTAATGAAAAAAAGCTTATAGTGTGAGTGTGATAATTGCAAGAATAAAAGGTAAGTCATAAGATATGGCAGAGCCAATGGGCAAAGGGATAATTAAAGGATAAAAGGATAATTAAAGGATAGGCTAAAGGATAAAAGGGCCTGGTGCAACCTGCTCTCTCTACAGGGTTCAGCTGTGTAATTTCCAGACAATGAAACAATTCAGTATGTAATAGTCATTGAGTCCAAACATGAAACAGTCGTTATGCTTCATGCATGTGTACAAGTCAAGTTGCCAAACTTTCCACAAAACTTTCACGACAATGCGGCAAGTAAAATCAGTCCAAATGACGAATTTTTGAACTGACTTGGAGCCCACACTTGGCCCACACATACTACAACAAATGTGTCAATACGAATAGGCCATAGCTGTGCATAACAATAAATGAATGATAAAAGTTGCAAAACGTTTAGGACAAAAGCGCACTTACTTTCTGACAGAACAAACTCCTGCTAGAGAGAGGCAGATTGTCACGTATGCCACGGCGAAGTATGTCACGTAAGCATAGCGTACAAGAATATGTTTATGTCTGGTATGAACTAATGGACTAGAACCCATTGTAGCAGATTAATATTGATGAGGATGTGGTTAATTTATGACTATGACCATGAACAACTGCTGGGGCCACTTTACACAGAAAATACACGATTTAAATATTATGTCGGGACTATGTTGAACTACATGTAGAAGGAACACTCAAGGTTTGTGGTATGGAAACCTGAGAGAACCCTAGACTTGACAAAGTTTGACCACCACAGAAACATGAGAAATCTTGATATGAGCAAGTTCACTAAATTGCAAAAAACAGTGTATGCCAAAAGACACATTGTAACTGATCTCAAGGTCATAAGATGTGCCTCTTTGTTTGCATTATATCAGTAAGAATCTACGATTTCCTTCAGAACTGAAGCTAGGTACTGGCCTTTTCATTTCAATTGTTTAGAGAGCCATCGTTTAAGGCCTTCTAGAGTAAACTTTGCAAGTGAAAAGACCATGGAATCATCAATTCCGGCCATTTTGTGTGCCCAAAATATGGATGTTAACACCTTAATAACTGGTGCTAGGTAATTACATGTTTTACTTAAATGAATATAGATATATAATCAAAGGGGTCTGTGTTTATATGCTTTTTCCAAGACCCTAGCCCAACTGATATTTTACATGCCTTATATGTGAGTAAAATCTGAAACCCAGAGATCGCATCGAGCCCAGTGTCGTACGTATGCACACCGCTGTGGAAACCGTACACACATGGTTTGACTACTCACACATGAGAACGATGGCAACACATGCATGATCCGTTGGCTGCAGGCTTCTCCTGTTTTGTTTTAGTGGAACTTATGTGCAAAACAACTTAGAAAAGTTCACATTTTCTCAGTGGACTGAGATCCTTAAACAAAATGAAATTAGAAATAATAATGTTTGATTTGTCCACAGTTGCTAAAATTACAATACAAAATAACTTCATAAGGGGCATAATATATTTGCTTAAAACATGCCCCAGAGAGGCTTAGAATGCACCACAGAGCATCTAAACTTTAAACCCAATGCCGTAATGGCTTCGCGCTAACAGTTTCAGTTTTTTTCACAGTCCTCCAATCACATCCCTGCCAACATGAAGTGAATCTCCTATACCCTGCGTGCCCCCCGCATGGGTATTCTACATGCATCACTAACAATTCCAGTGTACATTCCTCCGCCCTTTCCACAGCTGTGCATTCCGCCCTTCATTCTTGAAGAAAACAAATATGTTCTAATTCCTACCCAGTCACTCAAACGAACATTTTTACTTTCTTTGGTATATACATGTAGTACATGTATATTCATCATGAATGGGTGTTTTATTGTGATGACTTTGATGAAGTTTTATATTTGGAAATAACTGGGTTTTCCCTTAATAAACTTCCTGACTGAAATGTTGGGTTTCTGGAGCAGTAAGGAGATACCAGTATAATAGCCTTTTGGTGGAATACAGGGTACATGTACATGTGTGTGGAAATCATCCACAATCAGTTGCTTAAAGTTGTTTTTCTTTTGTTGCTTTTCAGGACTACAATGAAAAAGCATCTATGCTTGTCTACTGACACCATTGTGCTGTCTTGGGAGGGAGCCGGCAGATAGACCACGCCCAGCCATTCCACTTTGTCACTCATCTGGTGGTCACAAAAGGACAGCATTCAGGTTGACGGGGTGTACTGATGAACGGTTGACTGATGGAGCAGGAAATTTATTAAGGCAGTAAAGGGG